AGCGAGAACAGACTGGTGGCTGCCAGAGGCTGGAGCTTGGAGTTGGGGAAGTGGATGAAGGTGGTCAAAAGGTACAACTTCCAACTATAAGATAAATAAGTTCTGGTGATATAATGGACAGCATGGTGAGTATTTTTTAAAATTTCAAAAGAAATCATATATGAAAACTTAAGATACTTATAAAATCAATATAAAAAGTAAAAAGGTTTAAATCATGAGAAAACTAACCCTTATCTTGTATAAACCAAAATATTATGCTGGCATTATTCCCCCCTCCTATTTTTATGTAGCAAATTAAAATGTAAAAACACTGGATCATGTTAAAAACTTCTTTTATCTTGGAATTCAGCCCATTTCTATCTTACCTGTAACTATACAAAACCTATTACATAAATATACTCTTTAGTGCTCACAAAGGAAACATATATAGTTTAGCAATCCTTTCAGACATTTTTTTTTTACTATAGTTGACCCTTGAACAATGTGGGAGTTAGGGAACTTAAGGAAATAACACTCCTCAAAACCCCACCCTCTAGGGCACAACTGACTCCCTCCTCAAACTTAGCTACTAATAGCCTTACTGATAATATAAACAGTTGATTAAAACATACTTTTTATGTTATATGTATTATATACTTACAATCAAGTAAGCTAGAGAAAATGTTATTAAGAAAGAGAAAACACACTTAAGATACTGATGGTATTTGTCGACACTGATACCATATGTTAACATGATGAATCATCTGTCAGTATCTACGTCAATACTGTCTTATATTACACAAAACATTGTAGTTAGTAAATGTACTACTAATATAATATTGTGTGTATTAGTCACTCAGTCATGTTAGACTTTTTGGAACCCCATAGACAGTAGCCCACCAGGCTCCTCTGTCCCTGGGATTTTCCATGCAAGAATACTGGAGTGGATAGTCATTCCCTTCTCCAGGGGATCTTCCTGACCCAGGGATCAAATGTGGCATACATTGGCAGGCGAGTTCTTTACCACTAGCACCACCTGGGAAGCCTGAGTACTATTAACACTAAACATCAAGAATGAAAACATAGGGAATTCTCTAGTGGTCTAGAGGTTAGGGCTCCATGCTGCCACCACAGGGGGCATAGGTTCCATCCCTGGTCAGGAAACTTAAGATCCTGCATGCCGTGCTGTAATCAATAGTCCCATGAAGAGTCTGTAAATGTTTGTGTATAAAAGTTTTGATAAATTTTCAATTTTTATAATTGATCTGTGTATATTTTATGGTTAACAAATGACAAAACATACTAGCATCTATTTATATTTTATGCATTCATAATATACCTTTTTCTTAATTTTTTGATATTTTTAGGCTACACATTTTTCAAATTATTACAAATTCCCCCTCCATTTTTCCAATATATTTGGAGATCAAACCCATATTGTTTGAAGGCTAACTGTACTTAACTGAATTGTGCACACTCAACAAAATGTTTTTTTGATTAAGCTTTAAACTTCTCCAAGAGAGAATAATGGACAGGAAAAAATGAGAGAAAGCTACTTCAGACAATCATGAAACTATTACCAAAAAAAAAAAGAAAAAAGCTAATCTGTATTCCCTCTGCAGGAAAAGATAAAATAGTTTAAGTCCAAAAAAGAAACTGTTTAAATGCAAATCCCGCCCCCTCCCCCCCCAGATTTTGAAATATATTAATACATACACACAAAAGGAGTCACGTTCCACCTAATTTTAAAAAATATCTTAGGTGCTGGAAAATAGAGCTATACAATTAAAAAATCAGTATTTATTAATCTCCAAAGTACAGAAATGAAATATCACCTATGTTAAACAAAACCATCTATTTTTGACTAACATGACAATCCCCTCATGAGGGTCTCTTCTCTTTTTGTTCTACTTTTCTTTTTGTGCCTTTCAAATAAAGAATCTTCTTCTTGTCCCAAGTTCCCCAAAATGGCCACTGCAATTCTAAATGGTCCCTAATGAAATTATGTCAGAAAGATAAGGATACAAGCTAATGTAACTGTAAGAAAACATGAAGGAATCAGGAATTTGGCCCAGTTTTAGTTGAGACAAGAGTTCATAAAACAGTGCTGTGCAAACTTGTATCTCCAGAACTTGGCCAAAGACCAATCGTCATTGATCAGAAGCCAGAGCAAATGACCTGATTCTGGGCAGAAGTGAAACAAAGCAGTTCTCTCGGACACACACAGAACTGAGGCAGAACTCCTTACAATGGTTTGGAATGGCAACCTACGGCAAAGTTTATTCAAAGCACCCTGGTTTGAGGGTCTAAAAGCCATAGTCCCCTGGGCCGGCTGTAGGACCAACTTATTGGGCCTTGGTTGATGAAGTGATTTGTCTGGTTAATTTGGATAACAAATGACACTCCAGCATGCTAACTGACCCTCAAGTGGTTGGCATGCCCAGCTTCTTAGAGGGACAAATGGTGTTCAGCGACCAGACACTGTGCAAGAAAGTCTTTGTAACGTTCTTAAGACACCCAGGGCTGCATTCCCATCTTGTTCCTATATACTTTTCCTCTGACAGACAAACAATATCCAACGGGGAGACCGTTGGAGCAGACAGATGTAGGAAGTCAGAAAATAAATTCCCCAAGGAAAAATAAAATTTGATTGGATAACCCAAAAACTGAAGAGGATCTCTCTTTTGGGCTGCACCAGGTAGTTGTGGCATGTGGAATCACAGTTCCCTGACCATGGATAGAATCTGTACCGCCTGCATTGGCAGTGCAGAATCCTAACCACTTGGACCACCAGGGAAGTCCCTGAAGAGGATCTTATTCCAAGGAAAACAAACAAAATAATTCCCAAACTCAAGGGTCTCAACAAAACATCAGAGCTCAGTTCAGCAAGAACTTACCTCCTAGTCATGGGCAGGATGGCACCTCAAACATTTAAGAGACACAACGGGTCTGAGATGTGCACATTATTACTAGAGTCAAGGATCCCAGTCCACAATACTGAGGGCTTCAGCTGAATCGCCATGGAGCCTCCATTTCTGACAATGCCCTCCAGGCAAAGACCATCAGGAACACACCTGTAGTTGAACAAGGGAGCCTACATATCATGGGGAACCCATGCTGGGCATCTCAGCAAGTGCATAATAAAAATGGCTTACTATAGGACTGGGCTTCCCTGGTAGCTCAGACCATAAAGAATCTGCCTGCAATATGGGAGACCTGAGTTCGATTCCTGGATTGGGAAGATCCCCTGGAGAATGGAATGGCTACCCACTCCAGTATTCTTGGCTGGAGAATTCCATGGACACAGGACCCTGGCAGGCTACAGTCCATGGGGTCACAAAGAGCTGGATACAACTGAGTGACTTTCACTCACTTGGTATTTCAGGATTGGAACTTATGTTAGATGATTTTCTTGGAGGGCTTGAGAAGAGGGAAGGTTTACTCTAGGTTGGATGGTGTCAGGAAGTGGGGATAGTTCTTTTTGGTTGTCTTGTTTTTTTCATTTTTAAAAATATTTATTTGGATGCCCCAGGTCTTAGCTGCAGCATGCAGAATCTCTAGTTGCAGCATACAAACTTAGTTGCAGCATGTGGGATCTAGCTCCCTGACTAGGGATTGCACCCAGTCCTCCTGCATTTGGAGCATGGAGTCTTAGCCACTGGGAAGTCTCATCTTAGTAATTCTTATCTAGAAATTAGAAGAAATGGATCAGGGCTAAAACTGTACTCAATGAAGGAATAGCAGTCACTCAAGCTGTGGAGGAGAGGGTTGTATTTGGTCATTTTTGTGGTCTGGGCAATGTTTTGGGTTCAGATATGATCATGGAATGGTCTTTCAACTCCTAAGAGACTGGCTTTGCCTGATGTTGGTGTTCTGTAAAATTATTTATGCTCAACAGGGCAACACCATAGCCTAGTTAATAGGGCCAGGCCCCTTCCTAGCAATACTGAGGTTTCTGAAGGAAGAGTGTAAACTAGCTCCCAGCCACACCTTTTTCTCTTTTTCATCAGCGACATTTGAAAAATCCGAATTGGCAGTCCTCTCATAAAGCATGGACTTTGCAGGTCACCACCAGCCCCAGGACTCCCTAGTACCTTGTAACTGGTCCACTCCACTCCTTTGCATTCCTACCTGTTCCTGGCATTTAAATTTGCACCCCTCACTAAGCAGAAAAGGAACCAAATAAGCCCAGAGAAAAGTGATTTACCCAGGATCACCCAGTGAACTGGTGGCCGGGCGGAAACTATTCAATTTTCTCATTTTCCCTCCAGCGGGCACCCCGCTAGACACTCAGGTAGACTGCTAAATCTCTGAGGTGTCAGCCCATCAACTGAATACAGATGGGGTCCCATAAAAACACTTCTCACCACGCTTTATCAACATGTTTCCAGCTTACTTTTTTCCTCAGGGGTTGGGTGTCTTATGACATCGGCTGGGATTCTAAGACTTTGCTCCAGCCACCCCTGACCTTTTCTGCTTCTCAACTTTGTCCAGTGAGTTCACGCCTGAGGGTCTCTGTATTTGCCTGTGGCTCTTTCTGGAACGCTCCCCCATCACACCTGCTCGTGGTCGCTTCTTCTGAGCTTCAGCTCGGTATCACCTCCTCAGAGAAGCCCTCCATGACGACTTACCTCCTCACACCCTGCCTGCTCTAGCACTACTGCCACCTCCTCTGTGAGGCCACCCCCTCTATCTCCTTTAAGAGCTTCCAAGGCGCTTTTCTCTGTCAAATGCGCGGGGCTGGGAGGCGGCGAACTGTTACCAATTCCCTGCCTCTCTAGACCAGTGTTCCCTTTATGCCCACGAAGCGCTCTGAGAGTAGAAACACGCGGCAGGGACGACGCTTTCCTCAACAGGCAGGTGGCCAAGAGCCTCCTATTTCGGGACCCCAAAAGTGGCGACCAGAGGGCACGTCGCGCGGCAACCGCCTCAGCCACAGCCTAACCCGCCAACGGCCCAAGGCTACTACGCATGCTCTGCAGTCCAGGCCCCGTGGAGTCGGGGGCGGGGCCTTGACGCGCCTGCGCAGGTGCTCTCCCGGCTTCCGGGAGGTACCGGCGCGATGGGACAGAAGGCCAGTGTCGCTGAATAGCGGCGGCGTAGGGGCGTGCTGGCCACCGGTCCGGCCCGAGGGCTCAAGTCTCGGGTCTCTGGAGCGGCCAGGGAGCGCGAAGAGAACCTAAGGTCGCTGCCCGCCGCCACCACCAGGCATGTCAGCCGAGGCCTCGGGCCCGGCGGCAGCCGAGGCACCGTCCCTGGAGGTCGCTAAGCCCTCGGGTCTCGAGCCTGGCTCCGTCGCCTACGGTCTCAAGCCACTGACCACGAACAGCAAGTACGTGAAGCTGAACGTGGGCGGCTCGTTGCACTACACCACGCTGCGCACCCTCACCGGACAGGACTCCAGGCTCAAGGCCATGTTCAGCGGCCGCGCGGAGGTGCTCACTGACGCCGGAGGTACGCGAGCCTCCCTGCTTACTCTCCTGCATCCTCCAGATCCCGCCTCCCTTTCCCCTAGTCTGTCGTCGCCCAGTCTGTCGTCGCCCAGTCTCCTCATGCCCCTTCTCTCCTACCGTCCAGTCAGCTCGTTCTCACCTCCTCCGGTGCCCACATCCCATCTCATCTCCCTTTTCTCATTCATTATCTCCCTCCTTCCCCGGTCTTTACCCCCAGCAGTAGTAACCAACATTCATGGACCACCCGCCATCCCCCGCCCCTCCAGCTATTCTGCCAGGCACAGTGGTAAGTGATTAAACATGTCAGCTGAGAATGTTCATTACTGCGTCTCACCGACACTCCCACCCTTCACCCCTAAGCTCAAAAGACTTGGGATCCCGCCATGCTGGCAATAGCATCCTTCCAGGCAACTTTTCATCAGTTTCTTCCACTCACCGAGCCTTTTGTTCCGCTCTCTTCCTCAACGCTGCCAACAACCATCCCGGAGTTTAGAGGATTTTGTCTGTCTCTGTTCCCCTGACGCAGGTCCTTGTACACTCTAGGAATCTATCTATACAGACTGTAGAAGGAGGGGGCTGCTTTTGCTTTGCCAGGGACGCCAGAATGGAGAGTGGACAGTTCTCCTCACCAGGTGAACCTTACCCTCTGGAAGTGTTGCATTCAGCTCCGCCCCCATATGCCCTAGTGGAACTTTAAAGTTTGATGGGGGGGTGGGGGGGAGATGATTCAGAAGGGGTTAAGAATTCAGAAGGGGTTAAGAATTATGAAAGCCGGCAAATAAAAATTGGGGCGGTATCGCTCAGCCTTCATATGCCTGAAGGTGAATAATTTTTTTATTGAATAAGTATTTGTAAATGCCAGTTAGTGTTAGAAATAGTTTGTGGGGGTGGGTAGGGAAGAATAACCAAACATACGAAAACGAGAGCAAAGCATGTGATTTCAGATAAAAATAAGTTCTGTGAAGTTTATAAAGTAGTGAACTGGTGGGTGGGGTAGACATTCTCAATAGGGTGGTCAGAGTTAGCACAAGAGGTTAGGGGTTTCTTTTTTTAGGGATTTCTTGATAAGGTCATCTGTAGGTACTTTCTCATGATGAGAACCTTCTCAATGTAGACCAGACTTTGGAGGGAATTAATTCTCTGTGGCTGAATGTGTTTAAAAAATAAATAAAAGGCCCATGGGAGAACTCATTAGAGATATTTTAAAGGGATTTTCTTGGACATGGCAGAGGCCTGAGACAGATTGGTATTCAGATTTGTGGCTTTGGAATCCTTTTTTCATAAATGTAGTAGCTCTGTGGCCTTCAGCAAAGCCATCCTTTCTCCTGCCTCTCCCCATCCCACCAGGTTGGGTGCTAATTGACCGGAGCGGCCGCCATTTTGGTACAATTCTCAACTACCTGCGGGACGGGTCTGTGCCTCTGCCTGAGAGCACCAGAGAGCTGGGGGAGCTGCTGGGAGAAGCCCGCTACTACCTGGTGCAGGGACTGATTGAGGACTGCCAACTGGCACTGCAGGTGAGCGTCCCTTCCCCACCTCCTGAGTCCCATCCTGATGCCTATGTCTCTGGGAGAGCTGCCCAAGCAGTTAGCCATTAAGATATTAAAGAAAAGCAAAAGGAGATATGGCGCAGTGACTGGAATGTTGCCTCTGGCCTGACTCTGACAGGCCGTGACCCCAGCTATTTCGGGGGTCCTCTGCATTTCTGCTCTCCCACCACCACCTCATGCCAAGACTGCTGCGTTGGTTCAATGACTTCTTTCTCTGCTTCTTGCTGTTTCTACCCAGCCAGTCCAACTGTTACACTGCCACAGGAATAATGATCCTTAAACACAATCCCAATTTATTCTCTCCTTTGCTCAGCAATCCCAAGTAATGCCCTTGTCCCACTAAGTTAAAAAAAATTCTAAATTTAAATTGTAACATAATGACCTCCATGATCTGGTCCTAACCTGGGAGGCAGCATTCCATCACTTCATGACTTTAAGTAACTTTTTTTTCTAGCAATGAAATACCGTGGAAGCAGCCCCTCCCGATAAAACAGGGTTGGGGGTTCCAGAGCCCCATCTGCTGGGCTTCTCTTCTGGGGATCTCTTAGAATTCTGAGGAAAAGAGGTTGGAAAGTACAGCCAGGAGATATGGGTTAATGTCACCTCCCCCACTGCTGACTGAGTGACCTTGAGTGAGTCAGTTCCTACCTCTGGCATTCTGTTCTCATGTTCCAGAAGATAGGGAAATGAGAAAAATATGTGTGATGTAGTGAGTTTCACAGAAAGCCTTTTATTCTGTTCTATTTTTACAATGTTAAAAGTGTCCTTTTATGATATAATATTAATAACTTATAAGAGTTTCTTTTTTGATGCCCTTTATATATTAAAAAGTGGCAACTATGAACAACTTTCTGTTGTCTTGGGGAATACTTGTTGGTCCTTGAAATCCAAAAATATAAAATTCTTTTGGGCAATAGCTGTGTTTGTTTTTCAAGCTTTTTGTCTGTATCTCATAGAGAAAAATGCATTTTTTATATTCATCTTTGTATAACCAAGGGCTTACCAGGTGGCTCAGCTGGTAAAGAATCCGCCTGCAATGCAGGAGACTTGGATTCGATCCCTGGGTTGGGAAGATCCCCTGGAGAAGGGAAGGGCTACCCACTCCAGTATTCTGGCCTGGAGAATTCCATGGACTGTATAGTCCATGGGGTTGCCAAGAGTCAGACACGACTGAGCAACTTTCACTCACTTATATAATTGAAGTAAGAGTTCTATAAAATGATACTTTTAGTGAAATACACTCTGATATATTATGTTTTCTTTCTTTCTAATGCTATTTGGGACCATTAAATTTATTTCATGGCCCATCATGAGTTACCACTTGCAGTTAGAAAAACATTAAAACTAGATGATTTTGGAAGTGCATTCCTGTTTGGTAGCTTTACATGTATCTATTGTTATCTCATATCCACTGTGATTAGGGTCTGTTACCTCCTTGTACATTTGTTTGACGTAAAAAGAAACATGAGGGAAGCTGGGGATACATCCAGGGTCAAAGAACTGTTTAAGCAGCAGAGCTCCAAGTCAACCCCAGTTTATCTGACTCCCAAGTACAGTACTTTTTCTTCTGTGCTCCAGCTGCCGCCTTTCAAAGTTTTCTCAAGGCTGTTCCCATCCCCAACCCACTCAGCTAGAATATGCGTATTTGTATGGAGATTCAGGTACAGAGTATTGAGTTCATCATACTTCTCATGTGTGCACTTAAACATTTTTAGTCTCTGCAGATCTTTTCACTTTTCATTTTTCCTTCATCCCCGATACCCTGCCCACTTCCCTTGTCTTCATAGGTACCCCTCCAGTTCTAACATTTTAATATGTTTGCTTGGATTATGTTTGGACCCTTGAAAAACTATAAAGTGTTGCTTTGTATACATAAGCATTTTAAATTTCCATAAATGCCTTTGAGCTATGGATTGTGTGTTCTATTTCTTAATTCAGCACTTTTTCCAAGTTCTGTTCATGCTGCTGTACATATGTTTAGTTCTTTGCTTCTAACTGCTGCACAGGAATCTGATGTGCATTCGTAATATTTCGTTTATACATTCCCCTGAGTTTGGAGACTTAGATTGCCTCCTGCTTCCTGCCCCCACAAATGATGCCACAATGAGCATCTTTGTACCTGTGCCCTCATGGGTCCCGGACCAATGTTTCGCATGATTATCATTGGGATTGGATTTGCTGGGCCACAGGACACATGCAGATGAATTTCAGCAAGTATCATCTGATTACTCTCCCGAATGGCTGTAGCACTTTATATTGTTGATGAGCAATGCATAAGGAATCCCATTTCTGCATATCTTCAACAACTCATAGCATCACCTAGCATTCAAATATTGTCCATCTGTTTGGTATAGAGTGATCTAATTTTAATTTGCATGCTTCTGATACTAATTAGATTAAGCATCTTTTCATATACTCACTAGCGTTTTTGGTTTCCCCTCCTGTGAGTTGCCAAGTCATATTCTTTACCAAATTTTCTATTGAATTTCCTTTCTCTTGTTGCTTTGCTGGAGATTCTTACATAGTTTAGTTCCTAGACAGAATTAAGCCCTATTATTCTAGGACATATACTTTACATAATAAGTTAACTTCTGTGCATATAGAATGGTACTATTTATCAGACATTTTCAGAAGAGTTGATAAAATAGTTACTCAGATTATTTTCTGGGTTTTGTTATTCAATAAGTAACCCCAGTTGAGAAAATCTGTTTCAGATAATAATTTCTAGTCAGTTTTAGATGTTGCCAATCATTTCACTTAGAATGTCATCTATCTGTGGCATCTGTTGTCGAACAGAAATTGTTAAGTTTAAAAAAAGTATACATAACCATTTATTATTTTTAAGTGTATATAAGTATTATAGAAATTTAGAAAACACAGATAATTGAAGAAATAAAAGCACCAAATACTCTTCTGGGTCTTTTCCTGTGTGAGTGTGTTTGCCAAAATATGATTATGGTGTATGTACTGCTTTGTAATCTGCTTTTTTTGTTTGTTTGTTAATAATTGCCATCTTTCCATGTCAGTGAAATTTTATCTAACATCAAGGGCATGTACAAATTTCTCCATTTGTTCCAGAAATGTCTGTCATAGCTGGTTCACATCTAAACCAGTCCAGTCCAGATCCTTGCATTACATCTGGTTATTATGTTATTTTTCCAACCCAAAGCAGTTCTATTTTTCTCATAATACAGACCACCAGTTGTCCTGCACAATGACCTACTTTCCAAATTTGCCTGATTTGGTTTGTTAACCCTCACCCTCTCTTGAGTTTCTCTAAACTAGATGGTAGATTCAAAGGCTTGATATGAAAAATTTTGATTAGAAAACATTTAAAGTAATGTTACATATTTCACACTGTGTTATATCAAGACATATAGTATTGATAATATGATCCATCATTATTGATGCTCAGAATTGGCCACTAGATTCAAGTGGTGATGGTTTGATCCTTCATTGTAGTTCCATTCCTTTGTTGCCAACTATAAAGTAATTTAGGTACTTTATGAATGGCAGTTATCTATCAACCACATGTCAATTGTCAATTCTCACTAGAATCAATAATTTCATTAGCGTTGTAGAATAATTATAATTCCTTCAACATTACATGGAATTATTTATAAAATCATACTTTTCATTGTCAACTGGAGAGACTCTTGAATTTAATATATTCAAATTCCTCCCCCCCCCCACAAGATTGGGATCTTGTTTAAGTTTATTCTGTATTTTTTTATTAGCTTCATAATTTTATCTTTTGTATACAGAATTCACTGTTGTAATGTGAATTATGAAGGGATTTAACTTTTTTGTCCTCTGTGGAGGGGACAGTGCCATCTACTTCACAATCTGTGGTATCCAGTGTCCAAGAGAGCTACCAGCAGTTTTTTTTTTTTTTTTTTTTGCCTCTTGCTTTTATTCAGGTACCTGAATAATCAGCCCCTTCCCACATTGGATAGAACTAACCTATGTAACCAGTAGGAGACTGCAGAGGTGATAGTGTATGACTTCTAAAGCTAGGTCATAAAAGACATAGCAGCTTCTGCCTCTCTCAGATCACTCACTGTGGGGAAGCCAGATGCCATGTGAGCATACTCAAGCAGCGCTAGGGAGATGTCCACTTGGTGAGGAACTGAAGCCTCCTGCTCATGGCCAGCACAAACTCTCAGCCAAATGGGTGAACTATCCCAGAACTGGATCCTCTAGGCCCATTCAAGTCTTTAGATAACTACAACCCTGGTCAACGCATGGACTCAAACTTTGCGAGAGACCCTGGGCCAGGACTACCTAACTAAGCCGAGCTCAAGTTCCCGACCCACAGAAACTGTGTGAGATAATAAATGTTTATTGTTTTAAGCCGCTAAGTTTGTACTAATTTATTACCCAGTAACAGATAACAGATTGTGGTATCTGGAATGCAATTCTGCCAAAACAAAACCTAAAATGTGGGAGTGGCTTTAGAACTGCAGAGTGGGCAGAAGTTGGAAGGACTTTGAGAAGAGTATTAAGAAAACCCTAAAAAGCTTTAGAGTATTCATAGAAGTCTGAGGAGGCTGCAGTGTGACATGTGTTTCCTGGAAAGTGGTGGAAAGGGGATCCTTGTTATATAGTGGCAGAAGTAGCAACACTGTCTCTGATAGTAATATATTAATAGAAAGTAGAAAACATACCTAATGAACTGGGTGATCTAGCAAAGAAATTTCCAGACAGAATGTTAGGCACCACAGGTTTCTTGTTGCTTATACTAAAACAAGAGAGGGTAAGCAACAGGAAAAAGAATTGAACACAAAGGAGCCAGTAATTTGGGGGTGGGGGGATGCTTGAACATTCCCAGCCTTTCAAATAACAACTGATGTTAAAATTAACAAATGGCTTCCAAGCAAAGAAAACATACAGGACATTCTCAGTATGATATGGTCTAAAGATGAAGCTGAGGATGCGATTGTAAAATCCTTTGTTAAGACCTCAGAATATCCAAGAAGATGCCTCAGACTCATTCAGTCAAATGATAGCTCTTCTAAGATGCTTAAAGCTATTGTCAGGCAGCAGTCTCAGCATAAGCTCAAAGTAGAGAAGTTGTGTGGGTGTGGTTTTTGTCTAATGAACTGAACCCCGGACTCACAGTTCAATTAGGTCGCTCAGTCGTATCCGACTCTGCGACCTCATGGACTGCAGCACACCAGGCTTTCCTGTCCATCACCAACTCCCAGAGCTTGCTCAAACTCATGTCCATCGAGTTAGTGATGCCATTCAGTCATCTCGTCCTCTGTTGTCCGCTTCTCCTCCTATCTTCAGTCTTTCCCAGCATCAGGGTCTTTTCCAGTGAGTCACAAGACACCCATTAAGTTTTAAGGGAATTATATTGGCAGAAACACTGCCAGCTTAGACTTAAAGGGACAGAGACAATACAAGAGGAAAAGAAACCTTTGGACCTCCAAAAGTTGTACAGGCAAAAAGCAGGCTAAAGAAACTATGGAGCTGCACTGAAATGATCACAACATTGTTAATTGCCTATACTCCAATATACAATAAAAAGTTTTAAAAAAAATTAACAAACTATGGAGCTGCAAACATGGATTGTCTTTCATGGAAGAGGAAGGATGACTCAGGTCAGAGCCAAGAGCCATAGAGAAGAATCACCAGCTTCTGTCCATCAGCGCTGTAATGGAATGGGACTTTGGGGGAATCTTAGGAAGAGGTGGTGAGTATGCTTTGCATATGGGAGGGATTTGAATCAATGGGGGCCAAAAGATAGATTGTGGAGTCATCCTCCAAGGCAATCCTCAGTGATTCTTATTCCCTAGCATTCATTCCCTTGTGTTGTTCCCTTCCACATTGAATAGGGATAACAAAACTAGATCATAAAAGACTGTGAGGGGACTTCTCTGGTGGTCCAGTGGTTAAGAATCCGCCTTGGAATGCAGGGAACACAGGTTCAATCCCTGGTCAGGGAACTAAGATCCCACATGCTGCGGGGCAACTACTGAGCCCAAATGCCACAGCTCCTGAGCCTGTGTGCCAGAAAGAAAGATCCCATGTGTGCTACTAAGACCAATGCAGCTAGATAAATATTTTTTAAAAAAAGGCCTCTACTTTCCTCTCTCTTGGATTATTTGCTCTGGAGAAGCCAGCAGCCATATTGTGAGGACACTCAAGTAACCCATCACAGAGATACAAATGACAGGGATCAAATATTTCCTGCCAATAGCCAGCATGAACTTGCCAGCCATATGAATAAGCTTTCTCAAAAACAAATCCTCCAGACGAAGACAGCCTCAGTTTACTGCAACCCCAGCTGACTTGACTGCACCCTCATGAGAGACCCTGTGCCAAAAGCATTCAGCTAAGCAATCCTGAATTCCTGACCCACAGAAATGGATAATAAGTATTTGTTGTTGATTTAAGCTGTTCCGTTTTGGAGCAATTTGTTACATAGCAATAACTAATACACACTTGCCCTCACTGATTTGTGATGTTCTCTATAAATATCAGTTTTCATTTTACATATATATAGATATATCAGTCTGTTTCCAAGCTCTCTATTGTATTTCATTGTTTTTGTTTGTTTCCACACAAGACCTACACTGTTTTCATTATTGTGGCTTTGTAAGGTATTTTAATATCTGGGAGGGTCAATCTCCTCTTTCTTGACTCTTTTTAAAAATTGACCTAAGTAAGAGTAGGATTGTTCTCCCATATTAATTTTAGTAAAAGTCTTAGGTGTTTCTAAAAAAAACTCTGGAATTTTTATTAGAATTGCATGTCTGGTTTTTCAGTTGGGGGAGGTGAGAGGGGTTTTCAGCATGAGAATTCTCAAAGGCAGAGAAGAGGAAAGAAACCTCTGTGTCTGGTTCTAGTTCTCCCTCCAACCTCCCACCCAGTCCAGTTCATTCATTCGCCAGATATTTATTGAGCATCTACTGTGTACTAGGTGCTTATTCTCTAGAAAGAGACTCTGAGCAAATATACCACAAAATGAGAAAATGTGAGGACCTGAGTGCCATGAAGAAAGTGAATGGAGAGTGTGAAAAGGAAGAAGTAGAGGTGGCTGCTTAGCCAGGGAGCCTAGGGAGGAGGACTGGTACCCTCCTAGGGGCACTAATTGCATCGATATCCGAATGGCATGAAGGGGCCAGCCATACAGACAACCGAGTGCTGGCCATTGCTGGCAGTGGCAGCAGCAAAGGGCCCAGGGGGCAGAAGCTGGATGCAGGAAGGAGCAGGCGGGGCTCAGCCCAGCAGGCAGGGGAAAGTGGCAGAGCCGAGGTCAGAGAGTCCCCACGTGGACCACTGAGGAGTCTGGATTTTTCTCCCAGAGGCAACAAGCAGTGTTGGAAGGCTCTTAGGCAGGGGAGCAAGTGACCTTTGGTTGTGCTGTTAATCACCTTGCGCTTCTTCTCCAGCAAAAAAGGGAGAACGTGTCCCCGCTGTGCCTCATCCCCACGGTGACATCTCCCCGGGAGGAGCAGCAGCTCCTGGCTAGCACCTCCAAGGTGAGGCCCCTGAGCCCTGTAGGGTGGAGGCTGGGCACCTGTCCCGGCAGCCTGACCCCCACCTTTCTCCGCCCTCTTTTCCCCAACAGCCCGTGGTGAAGCTCCTGCACAACCGCAGTAACAACAAGTACTCCTACACCAGGTGACCCCCTCGGAGGTGGGGAAGTGCAGTGGGTGGAACCCTGGGCTCCAGCATAACCCACGGGGAGGGTTATGGCCACACTGGGTGTGGAAAGAATCCTGCCTGGATGCAAATTCCAGCTTTGCCACTTACCCCTGGGGACTTTGGAGAGGTCATTTTCAGTTGTGAGCTTCAGGTTTGGGGGGTTTTTTTGAGCTTCAGTTTTATCAGTAAACTGGGGTCCCAATGAGGATTAGATGATAATGACTAGCATTTCCTAAGTGCTTGCTTTATAAGAGGCATGGCTCTAAGCGCTTTACATATATTTACTCACACGAACCTCACAGTTGTTGGAAGTAGTTGTTGTGATCTCGATTTTACAGATGAGGCAATTGAGGCAGCAAGAGGTGAAGTAATTTGCTCAGTGTCACTCGGTTAAAAAGGGGTGGGGCAAGGATGTCTGGTGAGGCGACTTGCCTCCGGAACCTGCAGGGGTAGATCCCTCTGCTGTACTGAAACTTGCTGAACAAATGCTTCCTTTCCAAGGCCTGCTGGGCACCAACCTCCTAGGCAGGACTAGAGTGCTGGGTCTCAGGGCCCCTGAAGCTGGGGTAGGGGGGTGGGTTGCAGAACAGAGGGAAGGAAGCCCATCGTGCTGAGGCTTCCTCGCCCCCCCGGTCCTTAGCACTTCAGATGACAACCTACTTAAGAACATCGAGCTGTTTGACAAACTGGCCCTGCGCTTCCACGGGCGGCTGCTTTTCCTCAAGGATGTTCTGGGGGACGAGATCTGCTGCTGGTCTTTCTACGGGCAGGGCCGCAAAATCGCCGAGGTGTGCTGCACCTCCATTGTCTATGCCACGGAGAAGAAGCAGACCAAGGTCAGATGGGGTTTGGGGCCTGGTCAGGGAGGGCTGTGGCGGTGGGCAGGATCAGCACCCTGGACAGAGGCAGCTCATCCAGTCAAGCCCGGGAAGTCCATCAGTGGGAGTCAGGAGTTGGAGTTTCAAGTTATGGGGTCTTAGCTCTGTAACCTTGGGCAAGTCATCTTAACTTTCTGTGGGTCTCTGCTTCTCTACCTCTGAAAGGAGGGTGTTGGATTAGAATGGGATTCTTATTCTAGGCCAGTTGGGTTTCAAGGCTACCTTTAAAGAATATGTGGTTTTGGGTTTTGTGTGTGCATTTTTCTGTGTAGAAGGACTGTACCTGTCATTAGATTCTCAGAAGGATCTAATGACCCAGAGTAGGTTCTTAAAACTTCAAGTGTTTGGAACACACTGAGAGCATAAACCTTGAGTTATTACCATGGCAACCATCATCAGAGACTTTCTAAGCACTGCAAGAGGCTTAAAACCAAGGTAAATGAGATGCTGAGTAAAGAACAAGCCCTCTGTCATGACATCTGTCCCTGGAGATCTTATCACGCTGGTCCCTCTGACCTTGACAAGAAGGGTGTGCCTCAGGTACACAGGAGATCTTGGAAGTCTCTAAGCACCCAGTGCTGTTCACACCTTGCTGCCTTTGCACTCACCGTTCCCTCTTAGGATTATATTTCCTCATTCCTGTCTGCTTTTAGTGAACTTGTGCTTAATCTTTAAGACCTAAGCCAAGCATCACTTTCTTTGGGACAACTTAGCTCATGAATTTTCAAGACAACCACCCCAGAAAAGTTGATCCTACCCCCCTCACAGCTAAACACAGCACTGATTATAGTCTGCTGGGGATGGGGTTGTGGAAGGTGTTTACTTCAGCAGCAAGGGGTTAACTTCTTGAGAGCAGAGCTGTATCTTTTTTCCGCTATCTCTAGCACTAGCCAGGCTTTCATCACACTACAGAAGCTAGGAAACATTTATTGAATGCATGAAGGAATGAATAATCCAATTTCCAAGTAGCTTCCTCTGTAGTTGGGAAGACAGGAAGATAAACCAGTAATGAGAATGCAGCTCGTTAAAGTTTTGTTTATATCCCTCCGAGTCACACAAAGGGAACCCTTAACCACCTCTTCTTCCCTTTCTACTATTCTTCACTCTGCCTCATTGCTTTGGCCTTGATGCTGATCTAAAGATACACTGAGCACACTCCTGCCCCAGAATTCTTACATTTGCTGTTCTCTTCTCAGACTGATCTTTCTCTAGTTCTCTGTCTGGTTCCTTCCCTCCTTTCCTTTGGCTGTTGGTCAAATGTCACCTCAGTGAGGCCTTCTCTGAGCTCTGTCTTTAAAGTTGTAACATTCCTCCCCTTTTCCATAACATTTGTCATCATCTGACACTTTATGTCTTATTACATGTATGTCTGGGTCCTCATCCTAGAATGTAAACTTCCTGCAGACAGGAAGTTTGCCTGTTTTATTCACTGCTATATTCCCCAGTGCCTAGAATAATGCCTGGTACTGTGCAGTCACTCAGTAAATATTTGTCAAATGAAAAAAAAAAAAAAATACCAAGAGACCTGGCAACAAAGGACAAAGCAAATAACTCTGCCTGACTTCAGAGCTGGACTTCACAGCATGAGCATGACTTTGCTGAGTAAAGACATTGCAAAGAGGACAGTCCAGGCTCAAGGAACCTGTGACTGTGGAGGCTAGGCGACTGTAGAGGCTAGGAGGCCTGCCAATGCAGGAGCAGCCTGGGGGAGGGGATGGCTGTATAGTCGGGCCAGAAAGGGAGCTGGGGGTTGCTGGACTTTTGCAGGTGGAATTCCCAGAGGCCCGGATCTTTGAGGAGACCCTGAACATCCTGATCTACGAGACTCCCCGAGGCCCAGACCCAGCCCTTCTGGAGGCCACAGGGGGTGCAGCTGGAGGTGGTGGGGCTGGCCGAGGGGAGGATGAGGAGAACAGAGAGCACCGTGTCCGCAGGATCCACGTCCGGCGCCACATCACCCACGATGAGCGTCCTCATGGCCAACAGATTGTCTTCAAGGACTGAGTTTTGCCCTGAATTTTCCTCTAGCCACTGGGACTTGAGTCCCTCTCTCTTTTCCTCCTCCCCTTCCCAGATCTTTGCCCCGGCTTTGCTGGCCAAGTCGTGGGTCTCCCTTCCATCCCTTCATCACATGGTACAGTTCACTTTGGCCCTTTTCCATCCATTCCCACCTCATTGCTAACCACACGGTACATTCCAGCCCCTCCCCTCAGAAGCCTTCCGAAGGCCTACGTTTGTTCCTTCATCCCCATCCTTGTCCTGCCCTCTCCCCTCACCAGCTGGTTTAGAAGGATTTAGAATTCCCTTTCTCTTTTTTTAGTACATCGTACACGCCAAAGTGTCAAGCCAGCCCGTAATAACACCCACCGCGTTCTGAGCCGCCTCCTCACCGTTGTGCAGGGTTGTTCGCTCCCTCCTCCTCCCCGCCACCCTCCCTACTTCCTTAATATTAGGCTGGCCTGGGCCTGCACCAGCTCAGCGTCTTCCCAATTTGTTTCATATTATTTATTATTTTAATTTTCTATTAAATTATTGGAATAAAGTCAAGTTGAGGGTCTGGTGCTGGCTCCCAGGGAGATGGCTTGTTTAGGGAGACACCTGCATGGGAGAGGACACACACCCTTGCCCGCAGCCTTTCCTTGGGCTGGCAACTGGGAAGAAAGTAGTCAGGAGAGGGTTTAAAATCTATATTTCAGTGTTGCTGGCCAGTTCCCACCCTCAGCCCCACCCCACCCCCTGCAGTGGAGAGGCGGTCCTAGCTACCACTCTAGCCATCCCTGAGTGCAGCCTCTCTCCAGCCCGGATGTCTGAAAGGAGCATCTTTCTTCAAGGGTCTGGTGCGAAGACAAAGTCGAGGGCCTGGCGTTCGGCCCCAGCCACGTTGGGATGCCAGAGGTCCACGATGAAGACCACTCGAGGCCCATCTTCGGGAGAGCCTAGGGCACATGGGGGTGGAGAGCAGCTGACATTAAGTACTTACAGGCCAGAGCACTGACCACATACTCAGAAAGGCAGACACTATGCAAACACGTGCCAGACACTGTTCTATTAGCTCTTAATCATCAAAACAAACTAGGGGATAGTACCATAAGCATTCCCATTTTATACAAAGTAACTGAGACACAGAGGTTAAGTAACTTGCCTGACGTCACACTGCTAGTAAGTGCCAGAGAGAGAACAGGAACCCAGGTGGTCCAGGTCGAGGTTCTGGTGCCACGAACCACTTGGCTGTGCACCTACATTAACTTATTTAATCCTTACAGTCACCTGACAAAGAAGGGGGTTGCCCCATTTTCCAGGTGATTGGAGAAGTCATGTGACTTGTTCAAGGTCATGCAACTGGGAAATAGTGGTGTAGGACAGGAAGCCAGCTGGGTACAATTCTGCAGCCTCTATAGTCTAATCCCATTCACTCTTCAGTCCCTTATCCCTTCTGGCAGAATGGGAGCCCCATTACCATTATGAGCCACTGTGTGTAGGAAGGAGTCATCCACCAGGAGACAGTGTCCCTCAGCCCAGCACTGGGGCTCGCCCCCGACCACCAGCTCACAACCAGGGGGAATCTTCAGGCCTGTAGAAAGAGGTGCAGACCTCCAAATTCCTGCCTCCGTTGAAGAGGCCCACCCCCTTAAGTCAAAAAGCAGAATCTGAGAATCTTACATGCCAGGTTCTATGGTTTTATGACCACCTGATGCAAAGAGCTGACTCACTGGAAAAGACCCTGATGCTGGGAAAGATTAAAGGCAAAAGGAGAAGGGGGTGGCAGAGGATGAGATGGTTAGATAGCATTACCGGCTCAATGGACATGAATTTGAGCAAACTCAAATAGTGAGATAGTGAAAGACAGGGGAGCCTGGCAGGCTGCAGTCCGTGGGGTGGCAAAGAGTCAGACATGACTTAGCGACTGGGCAACACAACAAATGGTGTTCCCTAGCTCTCTGGAAGGTGACCCATGTAAAATTACAATACGGTAGTGGATGAGAGGAAATGCTAAGAGACAGGAAACACAGTGCAAAGCTCAATCTGTTCTGTTTCAGAGAAAAGGGAAAGCTTCCTAAAGGAACAAGCCTCCCTTTCTGGGCTTCTGTCAGTTTAACTCAAGAACCCTCTCTGTGTTAGGTCCTCTCTCCCCAAAAAGTATGAAGCAAAGGGCTCCATCCTGCCGAGGGCCACACAGTGGGGTGCAGAAAACTGAGGAGCCAACTCAAATAATGGGGAATAGGAAGACATCCCAGAGGAGGTGTGACATTTGAAAGTGTGAGTTGTGAAGGCTAATTAGGAGTTTTCCAGGAGGTGAAAGGTGGAAAGACATCCTAGGTTAAGAGCGTGCACGTGGCATCTGCCAGGACCAGCCAGAAAGCCTTCATAGTTTCGGGCATGGTGGAAGGGAAGGGGAAGAAGGGAACAGGTGGGAGAAGAGGAGAGAAAGGAGCTGAACTTGATCCAGGTCTCTTCAAAGTCAGTGTGCTTTAAAGTATAGAACACATTGAACTGGTAGCACAGGAGATGACTGTAGGCAAAACAAGGTCATGGCATTAAATAACATCAATCAGAAAATGAGGGGAGTTTTTTTCTCCTTGTTTTCTTTCAACCTATAAAACATTGAAATCTCAGTTTGATGCTACCATAACTTCATACTAACATTGCTGCTTTTCATTTTTTTATTTTGGGCTGCACCATGTGGCTTGTGGAATCTTAGTTCCTTGACTAGGGATCGAACCCAGGCCCTCAGCAGTGAAAACACAAAGTCCCTGGTGACTCAGTGGTAAAGATTCTGCCTGCCAATGCAGGAGTTGTGGGTTCTACCCCTGAGTTGGAAAGATTCCCTGGAGAAGGAAATGGCAACCCACTCCAGTATTCTTACCTGGGAAATCCCATTGACAGAAGAGCCTGGCAGGCTACCGTCCTTGAGGTCGCAAAAGAATTGGACACAACTTAGCAACGTTTACAACCACTAGACTGCCGGGGAATTCCCAACATTGCTCCTTTTTAAAGGAGGAGAATGTAGGCTTCAGTCTCAGACTAGAATATTTTGCTAGAAGTTTTCAACCTTTTTTTTTTTTTTAAGTTTAAACTTGTCTTATGAATAACTTCTATTTAGGGCAAGTAATACTGATCATCATTGTTGTATAAAGATGCCTTCTAATAAGTAAACAAAACATGAAGGGGAGTCAATATGAAGAAACAGGACAGGTGGCAAATGACTGTGGGAACCTTGTGACGATGGCTTTCTGATCACTGAAGCTCAGGAAATGCTGCTGTGGGCAATAGGGAGTCATGAAAGATTTCTGAGAAGAAAGGCACGATCAGAATCACAGTGTAGAAAGCTATGATGGCAGAGAAGAGAGTCTGGAGCGGAAATCATGGAGGCAAGGAGGTGGTCTGGAAGCAGCATCCACTTACCCAGATGACATCTGACGCGGGCATTGGTGGGCCCACAGCGGCCCTCGAGCCGGGCGCCGGGCAGGAGGACGGAGAAGCCAGCATTGCCAAAGGTGTTGGCACTCATAAAGCTTCGCAGCCCCCTCAGTGCCCGATAGGCCCCCGGGCACCGGCGGCAGTTGCTGGGTTGGCAGCGGCCTGCTTGGTATAGCAGGAGCTGGTAGCACCCAGGGGCTAGGGGTGGGGACCAGCCCCGAGGCAGAGGAGTCGTCCCTGAGAAGTCCCAACTCACAGCCCCAAAGTCCCGTAGGATAGCAGGGAAGCTGCTCTCCAGGAGCTCCACATCATGCCGCTGGGCCTCCCGGGGAACAAAGGGGGCAGAGGGCAGGTCTGGCAGGAAAAGCAGGCCTGGGCGCTGGATGCCCAAGACCCCTGGCCCTCCCCCTGGGCTGGGGCCACCCTGAGCTGCCCGCCTCACCCTACCCATCCCTGCCCAAGAGTAGCGCCTGGCATAGGCCCGAAGGCGACGGCTCACTAGGCCTTCCGTCCTGGGTCCTTCTCCGGACTCTCCAGAGCAGCCTGAACTTGGCCTGCTGGCTTCAGAGCACCCTCCAGGTCTACCACCGACAGCCCCAGCCCGACTTCCAGCCCCCAGGGCCTGCATGTCTTGAGAGCCCAGGCGGTAGCAATACCAGAGGAAAAGGGAAGTGAGGGCTCCAAGGAGCAGGGTTAGAGCAGAAGAGGCCAGAGGCAATGGCCATGCCGGCATGATGGGCAGGGAGGCCCTGGCCAAGAGGCCTGGGGCATCCTCCAGACCCCAATTCCGCTGTTCCCCCAGTTCTCCACCGGTTCCCTCCATGGCTGCTCCCTGGTTACCTCCTGCGCTATTTCCTCGCCACATTCCTACTCTTGATTCTCTCTCCTTCTGAGGTCCTTTTGACACCTTGTACCTCCTCCTTTCTCCCTCCCTTCATGTACCTCTAACCCTTCTTTTCTCTCCTTCTACCTCTCTGTCTCTTCTCTACTTCTTTCTCCTTCCAACTGTCTCCTCTTTCTATTTTGCGTCTTTCCTCCTCTTCTTTCTCCTTCCGGCAGTTTCCTCTCTCCGGTCAGTCTCTCCTTTCTCCCCTTCTCCTTTCTTCTCTCCTCCTCCACCACCGCTCCCACCCCACCTCTTTTCGCTCTCTTTTCCTCCCCTGCCCGCTTTCCTTCCAGCTTCCCCAGACAGCACTTCCTACCCCACTTGGACCCGCAGGCCCGGGAAGGGAACGCAATCAGCCGTCCTCTGCAGCGACTTCTGTCTCCTTCCTCCCCTTTCTCTCCTGCCTGCCCTCGCTTCTCATTCCACCCGACCCACGGCTTCTCTCTCTCTCCCGCTACCCCCTCCCCACCTCTCTCCTACTCGCTCCTTTCTTGGCTCCCACTCACCCTGACGTCACCCCTCCCCACAATCCTCTCAGCTTGGCGACCCCCGCCCTCGCCCAGTGGCCACCGCAACTCAGCCGGGTTGGGGTCGGGGGGCTGGGGGGGGGGGTCCGTCTCCGGATTTGCCTCCCCCGGCCCCTACGGGGCGCCACGTGGGGCGCCGGGGGCACAGCGCCAACCTCCAGCGCCCTGCAATGCGAAAAGAAAGGGCGGGGCCTGAGAGGGGTGTGGCAAGCTAAGGGGCGGGGCGAGGACGAGGACTGATCGACAAGGCCGGCGCTCGCGGACTGCGGACAGGGTTGCTGCGGCCTGTCGGTGGGTCAGCCGATCCCCAGACCAGTCAGCCTGTGACTCCACCTCCCCCTTCGCCTTTCCGAGAGCCAGCCCCCGGCGGGAGCCAGATTGATACTGAAGGTGGCCGCAGCCAATCGGCCGCCGCGCCGCGGGCCAGGCCAGTTCGGGCGGGGCCGAGAAGAGCTGTCCTTTCTGGTGGTGCTGAAAAGGGCGCTCCGGAGGCCTCGTGTGAGGAGGTCAGAAGGAAAAAAAAAAAAAAATCAAAGTTGAAGCCGCCAGGCAGCTGGCTGGGATCCTGTTGTATGTTAGAAGCGGGGGTCTCCCCTCCCCAGGTCCCACCCTGTCACCCCTTAGACTTCTCACAAACGTAGGAATCTGTCATTCTTCTGAAGGAAGGGAAAGCTCATTCCACATGAATTCCTCTGAAAGGGTCTGGAAGTAAGCTGGGGGCA